ACGAATCTAATTTCGGAATAAGACTTCGACAATTCCACTGTAGAACAGTGATCAAATCCCCGACCTCGTTTGGAAAATTATCCATCGAAGGAGATGATAGCTGCAAGAAGGGGCCATTTTGAAGTCAATTGCTTCAAGAAGGATTTCACAGTGGGAAGCAATGTGAGGACAATGCTTTTCAGAGGATCAGAAATGTTGAGGTATTTGAGAATACCGTCCACAATGTCATCAAATGAGAACAGCCCAGATGAAGAAGGGGTTTCTATTCTTAAAATTGGGGCATCAGGGGTTTTGGATGTCCCCGGAAGAGGTGGAAAATCCTGGGTATAATCAGTTCTGCGGAATCCAGGAGGAGTAGAAGTCTCCTTTTTTCCACCACTCCTTGATTTGGGCAAGCTGATTTGGGGTTCTTGATCTGCAGCTTTCCGCGAACGGATGCGTTTTCGTTTCCGGGCAGAACCTTCCGGAAAACTGAAAGAAACTCCCTCCTCAGCCAAGTCAGAGCCAGACTCGTCGTCTGACAAAAGAGCGAAGGGATTTGTTTCGTTGGTCGATGGCTTGGCTGTCTTAAGCATTTCTGCAAAAGACCGCCTGGAACGTTCCTTAAGGGAGCGTTTCATTTTGTCCCCGAGCTGTTTGTACGCCGGGCACGACGAGAGAGCATGAGGAGGAGTTCCATTGCAGTACACGCATTTTGGTGCAGTAGCTGCGCAGGCGCCATCCTCATGCTTCTCCCCGCATGTGGAACAGCGTGCCTTGTTGCCGCAGTGGGAGGCCGTATGTCCCAACCGCTTACAATTCTGGCAGTTCATGACCCGAGGTACAAACAACCGCACAGGAAGACGAAGTTTTCCCAGCTCGATGTATTGAGGAAGGGCAGATCCAGAAAAGGTCACCCGAAACGAGTCTGTGGGGGTAAAACTCTTTTTACCCTCGCTGAGCGATACTGACTTCATTCTATGAACGGCCAGTATCTTTACCGGAGGAAGCAAGGGGTTCTTGAATCGGCCAACCGCTTGCTTCTCCAGTATCTCGGGGTTCAGGCTCGCCTCAGTGACCACGCCTTCGATCTCCACATCAGAGGCTGGAATGTACACCCTATATTCCAGTGTGAAAAACTGGGAAACAGCAATTTCATTAGCTTGTTTCAGGTTAGCGACGGTCACACGAAGTTTGTTGTGCCTAACCTTCGTTATTTCGGTCACGGCAGAGAATCGCTTTGTCAGATCATCAGATATCTGAACAACATTCAAGGGTTTGTTTTTGGGCTGAAAATAGACAACCCATGGGCCAGTCGAGTCATTCGGGTAGGCCCGCAATCTGGAGTTTTTCTCAGCCTGCCCATTGACAGACTGAGACGACGAACCAGGGATGACATCATCATTTTTCTTAGATGAATGGTCATCCATGTCGTCTTCTGACAAAACATCCATTTTGTTCAACTAGTGGGAGCGCAAAACGCTCTCCCACTGAACGCACAGACACAATACACAGAAAACACTACAAACACAGAAATACAAAATGAAAATTTAACTAATGAGGGAGGAAAAGAAACAAAAAAACACAAGAACTTATCTGATAATTCTATACTACTACCACCGAGCGTTATATGTGTAGGCGTTTACACAGATGGCTGGAAGAGACGCGCTGCGTGGATGACCTTCGTTGTGGTGCACTTGATCGAGGCTCGGTACTCAGCGCACACAGGCGCACGATGATTGATGAATGATGTAGATGTAGAAACGGGTGCTCACACTCGATGATGATGATACGTAAGCGGGTATGCGTGAGCGCGTATGCGTGACCACGCAACGATGATGCCCAAATTGGTTTGCGAATTACCAATAGCACGGATTAATCGTTCCGAAAATGACACTTTCTACTTAAAAAAAACTCACTTTTCGATCAATTTACCGGGAACTATGCCAGGAGTCACGTAGTGAGAAAAAACTGATAATTTATATCAAGCGAATACCGAGAAAACTTCCAAAACAACGGAGCGCGAAACAAGTCGACCGTACTTCTTGCTAGGACGCAGTGGTATGTGATGCAGGTTATGACATTCGGGGCTTGCTGCTCCCCAAGCACTGCACAGTTCGTGAAAAATACCAATGCGGAAAGATTCGCGAACAAATATCCAGCTGCATGCGAAGCTATCATGAAGTCTCATTACGTAGATGACATGCTCGTCAGTGTGGATACAGAAGAGCAAGCGATCCAGTTGGCGAAAGACGTTAAGCATGTACACGAGCAGGGTGGCTTTGAGATCCGAAATTGGGTAAGTAGCTCGAGAAAAGTACTTTCATCGCTACAGGAGGCAAACACCGACGAAAAATGTCTCGACTTATCTCCAGAGCTGGCCACTGAGAAGGTGTTAGGCATGTGGTGGAACACGAGCGACGACGTCTTTACCTACAAAGTCGGATGGAGCCGCTACGACCCGGCTCTGCTAGAAGGCCAACGACGTCCGACGAAGCGGGAAGTGCTGCGTGTTCTAATGACCATTTTCGATCCGCTCGGCTTTCTATCGTTCCTGAAGATCCTACTCCAGCAAATCTGGCGGTCCGGTATGCAATGGGACGAAGAAATCGACGATAATGCAAACGAAAAATGGAACACATGGCTGCAAGTTCTGCCTAGAGTTGAACAGGTTCAAATCCCTCGATGCTATAACTCCAAATACCCCGCGGAAGAAGCCGACGATATCCAACTCCACACGATGGTGGATGCCAGCGAAAATGGCATGGCCGCCGTTTGCTATCTGCGTTTCGTCAAGACCGGAACGATCATCTGCTCCATCGTCGCCGCAAAAACAAGAGTCGCACCGCTTAAGTTTACGTCGATCCCAAGGATGGAACTAGCAGCTGCAGTCCTTGGCGCCCGTTTGGCTCGCGCTGTCGAAGGATCGCTGTCCATCCAGATCTGCAGGAAGGTGTACTGGTCAGATTCCCGAGACGTCCTATGCTGGATCAACTCGGACCATCGCCGCTATAGTCAATACGTTGGTCACAGGATCAGTGATATTGTAGAGATTTCGGAAGCACGTGAATGGCGGTGGGTCCCGAGCAAGCTAAACTGCGCTGACGACGCTACCAAGTGGAGTAGCCTACCAGATATGTCATCAGATCATAGATGGTTCAAAGGAGCAGACTTTCTCTGGCACGCTGAAGAAGATTGGCCACCATCACCAACACTTAGTGGATCTACGGAGAACGAACTTCGCCCTTCCTTTCTGGCTCATCACGTACCATCAGAACCCGTCATCAATGTCAGCAACTACTCAAGCTGGAAGAGGCTCGTCAAAGTTGCAGCACTAGTTCATCGTTTTATGAACAACTGTCACCTAAAACACACCAGGAGACCGATTCGTACGGGACCACTAACAGCAAACGACCTGCTGATCGCCGAGTGTTCGCTGATACGGCTCGCTCAACGGGAAACGTACCCCGATGAAGTTGCAGCTCTTCAGAAAGCTAGATGTTCTGATTCTTACACAAGTAGTGTCCCAAAAACCAGCTCACTTTACCAGTTAACGCCATGGTTGGACGAACGTGGAATTCTGCGTATGCGAACGCGCATTGCTGCTTGTCATTACGCCACTGATGATGCAAAGAGCCAATCATTCTCCATCGAAACCACCATACTACCACCCTGATCGTAGCATACTACCACCACAAATACCACCACCAAAACCACGAAACCGTTATCAACGAAATACGGCAGAAGTTTCGCATCCCTCATCTACGCACCTGTTACGAGCGCGTACGAAAGGATTGCCAGTGGTGTAAGAACCAGTACGCAGCACCCAGCCCACCGTACATGGCCGATCTTCCGCTAGCCCGCCTCGCTGCTTTCTCGCGGCCATTCACACATGTGGGAGTTGACTACTTTGGGCCGATTGAGGTTGTCGTCGGAAGGAGAGTCGAGAAGCGGTGGGGAATGTTAGCCACTTGCCTGACCGTACGAGCAATCCACATAGAAGTTGTACATTCACTTTGCACAAGCTCCTGCATTATGGCGATCCGCAACTTCATTGCACGGCGTGGAACTCCCCAGAAGATTTACAGCGACCGCAGAACGAGCTTCGTCGGTGCAAATCGGGAACTCCAGCAAGCCAACGAAGAAGCAGTCAATCAACACGAACTGATGAAAGAATTCACGAGCTCTGGAATCGAATGGGTGTTCAACCCACCTCTGTCGCCACACATGGGCGGTAGCTGGGAGCGACTGATTCGCACCGTCAAGAAAAACTTGATGGTTGTTTGTTCGTCGAAGAGGCCATCCGACGAAGTACTCCGCAATCTGCTAACCGAAGTGGAGAACACCGTCAACTCGCGTCCGTTAACTCACGTGCCGATAGATGAGGATTCGGCCCCAGCGTTGACCCCGAATCACTTCTTACTCGGTTCGAAACCGATCACGAGACTCGATGATAGCCGAGCGGCTGTAAAGCAGAATTGGTGTACCTCACAGATTTTAGCAAACCAATATTGGAAGCGTTGGGTGTCGGACTACCTTCCAGAAATCACTCGCCGCACCAAATGGTTTCGTTATACAAAACCGATCGCCGTGGGCGATATTGTAGTTATCACCGATTCCAAAATGCCCCGCAACTGTTGGCCGAAGGGGAAAGTTATCAGCACCAAAGTCAGCCAAGATGACCAGGTTCGGTCCGCAACCGTGAGGACAGCGAGCGGTGTCTACGACCGTCCGGCAACGAAGCTGGCTGTATTAGACGTCCGGTGCGACGGAGAGTAAGCCAACCAGGGGTTATCGTACCCTGGGGGGAGTGTTGGCCACACTGGCCTGAGCACACCTACCGTTGGAACCTACTTGTGTCGGAACACCCCTGCAGTGGGTTCGGCAGCGAAGTGACAGCGGAGTGACAGATATCGATCTGTCACACCGGGTGAGTAGAGGAGAAAAACAACCGAGAACAAAGCAAAACAAGTGTAAAAGTAAATTCATCGCTCTCGTTATTCTTAAAATTATCTAGTAATCTAGTGAACTTAATTATAGTTGAACTTAAAGCTAATGTGATTAGTCACTACTAGGTTTATCTTATATCTACACACTAAATTAGGTAAGTTTAATACAATTAAACTTAGCTTAAATGTAACTAAAAACTATGCTTACGCACTAGGTAACCTAAACCTATCATTGAACACCATACACTCTACTCCGTGAAACCCGTAGCCACTGGTATCGGTAAGAAGTTAAAGCAAAAGTATGTATAAAATGTATATCGATGATCTTACTTACAATTACCTAAACTAGGGCTTACAACTAAACACTTCGACGGCATCACGCTAGACAACACCCGAAATTATACTAAAAGGAAACTAAACGTAAGTCACAAAATTCCCTCCCCATGGACATGGAGGTTGACGGTACTGAAGCAAAGGGTTATGTTTAATTTCTTTATATTTGCAACGATGATGATTTCCAATAGTGACACATATCACCTTCTTAATGCTTCAGTATGCCTCAAACAATTAATTCTTGGTTGTTAATAGAACTTCCTTGATGAAATCGGCTGCTTCATGCAGAGTGAGCAATTCTGATTAAAGTATCAGATTTGTTCTGTATACAGAGGAACTGGGAGGGCTTATTAGAAACTTCTCACCAATAAAGTAATGATCTTCTATTAAATTTTGCATATCATTTTATTAATATTTTATTTTATTGAAGCATATTATTTTTTTACAGTCAATCAGCTTTAGCATACGATACAAGAGATTTAATATTACTTGCTCGTTTTTGCGTTAAATAATCAATATTTATTTTACTTGTAATTACCTTTGAAAGTTTTTTTTTTTCAAGTTTTTTTTTGTGATCTGAAAATTTTCTTAGTTTGGTTAGAAGTTTCGAAGCTAACGCATGTCCACAGGCCCAATAGAAAGATAGGCAGAAAAAGTGTATCATGAAGAATGGTTGCATGCACTTGCTATAGATGAGTGATTTTCGGAGTTTTGAATTCGTTAGATGTTGTAATGGAGATTTGTGCTGTTGGATGCGTGAGGAGATTGGAGGGCGGGTGTTTGACGCATAGAGCCTGTCAATTTCGCTTTCAGAGTGTCGCAGTCAGCGGTTTTATGATTCGTGAGCGCTCGCGATTCGTAGAATCGTTGATTGTGACTGCAAGTGGATTTGACGGGTTTTGTGTGTCGGACGCTTGCTTTTTGGCCTCTTCTTGTGTCAAACTTGTGCAGAGTATCATTATAACGTCTAATGGTTTTGATATTCCTGGTGGCGTGAAATATATTTGTGAGAATATTTTTTAGAGATTTTAGCAGTCACGTTTTGTTTGTAATTTATATTTTATTTATTTTATGTAATTATCGTAAATAATAGTTATTCAATAATAGATAGTTCATCCATATATTCGTACTTTGACGCGAAGTGCTGTGGATTATAAGATGCTCGATGACCCTCGAGGGATCGATTTTGCTTACTGAGCAGAAAATCATGGATTTAACCCCATGCTCTTCCACAGCACAATAAATCGCCACCATAATTTGTATATTTGATATTGAACATTAACCTCGGAAACTATTTGCATATCAAGCGAAAACGTAGTCCTGTATTGTCGCGAAGCGTTATGGTTCTGAGATGCTCGATGACCCTGGAGGGATCGTTTTTGCTTACTGAGCAGAAGATCATGGGTTTAATCCCAAGCTCTCCGTCATGACTCTTAAAATTCATGATCACTAAACGAAATGAATATGTTCTTTCGATAGCCGTTTATTTCGACAACAAATAAACAATACATACTTTTGGTTGCATCGCCAACTTGAGGTGAATCCTAACCGAATACCCTACCCAACCCTCCAACTCCGTAGCACTTATGAGGGTGTCGCTAAGTCGGTGGCCTCTCGTTAAGTAAGTACTACATCAACATTTCCTTCCCTATCCCTAGTTATGGTAAAGATGAGCGTGGCCGGGAATAGCGACAGTCATGCTTCTGTTACTCTTGTTTAGATTGGAACCAATGTTTACTCCTCAGCATTATTCCTGAAAGTAGTCTAACTGAGAATTTCAGAAGAGACGTGAGTGTCGCTAGTATCCAATCTACGAAGTATATCATAACAACGCTAACGCTAACGCTAACTAAACGTAAGTCACAAAATTATAATCTTCACTTACAATTAGGACTAAAATTAGGTTGAGAACATAATGATAAACAATGTCATGTACACTCTACCTACATTCCAACCTTAAGCAATATCAAGGCCACATAAATATATATATAGACTAACTAATTCCAATTGAAATTGTCGTTATCTAACACAGGAAATTATATTCTCGATATCACCGGATTATACGTCTTTTATTCGCTTCCGGTCGAGAATCATAGTATCGGAAACTTCCCGTTGAAACTGAATTTCAACAATATATGAACACCATTTGGGTTTGTTCGCTATGCACCCAATCAAGATAATTTCTTTGTGCAATCTACCCAAATTAATCTTAGCGTGCAAAGTTATGAACGCGCATGGAGAAAAAAAAAATAGTTCACCCGTTGACCGCCTTTCTCAGTCAGGCGCCACATTTTTGTTACCAGTTTATTTTCCGAAGTGGCAAATCTGTGTTTTAATTATCTAAGATACGATCAATGCCTTATCATTGCACAAAAACTGATATTTCGTAAATTAACGTTGATTACAAAAACTTGATGAACATTGGCCTACATTAACACGTGCGGGTAAGACCTTCACTCCTTGCCACTATGGGAAATTTCCATGCAAGCAAGCGGACAAAAATATTTTCTTCATTTTTGCTTCAATGTAAGATGTTGAATGGTTGTAATTATTAACTAAGAGACGAGGAACACATTTTGATGATTCACGAACAAGTTTTAATAAGGGCTTAGTTTTTAATTGATCTTTATTGATAATATTTTCTAGTCTTTTTCTGCAACATTTACCTACGGACAACATATTGTGAATTTTACAACATATTTTCCATTTCAAAGAATGGTTATATTCGTTCTTCTTAGTTTATTTCAGTTATGCAACAGTATGAGTGAAAAATTGGGGATTAAAATTAACTTTTACGGGTAATACTCCTCTCACGCCAAAGTTACGAGTTAAAATCTCACCCCGGACAAGTCACGAATGACCCAAGAGTCTTTAAGTGACTATAATAAAAAAAAATAACTGCGAGAAACGGTATAAATTTTATTTCAATCTTTTTTTTATTGTTTTCTCGATATTGCACATTTTTTATTGTTCGGCACTGCTATCATCACTAGCAAAATCTTCTTCAACTTCGTCGACAGCTTTCATATGTTCTTCCAATGCATTGCAGTTATCATCACCGACTGTTGAGCAGTTTTCAGAATCTTCGAATATCATAAAACTTTTGACAATATCGGGATAGCTCAACGCTTTTTTTGATTGTCTTCTTTTCTACATCCAAATGGTACTAATGAATGGATCTGATTCATTCATTGCCCGAATGAAGAAAGCATGTAAATTTTCGACTCTGGATCGTTTTCTAGCATGGTGAGTTCGATATTTTTTCAGCTGTTTATGCTGACTTTCTGATGCTTCTTCTGCTAATATTCCAAGAGGAGCTGACGAATGAATTGTTATTTCACCAGCATGAGCAAGTACTTTATGTACGATTGCAGGAATTTTATACCAATAATATAAAGAAAGATAAAGTTGGTATGTGTCTTTGCAATAGGCATTATATTTTTCTGGATTAATTGGCTCCTAACTGTTGATAGTAATTAAAATGTTTCGAAACCTCACAATTAATTCTTTGTCGATATTTAAAACGCTGCTTAAAAGATGAGGATTTGCGAATCCTCGTCGACAAACGTTACCTGTAGTGCTCGCACCTGTTCCTCCTGATCTTGGTTGATCAACTCTAACTCCAAATTTTTCATAAAGCTGTGCCGTTACTTGTTTTTTTTCTTTGCAGATACTGTTCTTTACATGGCTGTAAAACTTTCCATTGCCTTAGATTCATACGATACGAAATATGCAGCAGACATTCAAGGAAGCGAATCCATGCATGAAGTGGAGATATACCATAAACTAGGGTATCTCCGTTGGATAGAAATCCTTCTTCTAATTTGTCTTTGTTGTTCATTACGTTTGGAGTTGCCCTACAAATTGGGCAGTTCTGCATTGATGAACTACCACAAATATATGTTAACACCTTACCGTCAATCATACTTGGCGCAAATTTAAAATCAACTAAGATTGTGTTTCCGTTTAATAGATCAAATTTCACTGGTATTAGTTCTTGCATTTCTTTCTCCACGTCTTGTTTTGTAGCAAGAATTATCTCTCTACTCTCTTTCACGAATTGCAGGATGAATGGTCAACAAAACCGAATGCTTTAAGGCTAACCGCATAATTTTGTTCGGATTATTCGCCACATTTATTGGAGAGAGTGTTGATGAGAATACATCAGAATCATCTTGACATTCGTCTGGCAGTGTTTGATGATACTGGGAATAACCGGGTAAACCATCCATGCCCCAACTACTAATAGAATCAATTCTGCATATTCCAGGTTACTTGTAGAGTTCCCTCTCAATAACTTTGATGATTCGTTGGACTGTATGCTCCAACAGAGCCTGTAGTTTCTCCTTTATTTTGGACACGGTTTCCTCAATGGATTGAGTTGGAGGGGCACATACTTTTTTAAATGTCCCGATAACGTTGTATGGTGGAAATCGTGATGGTGCCTCTCGATGTATTACTTCGTAGTGACTTTTGCTTAAGCCAGCTTCAATGAACATACTAAATGCTTCAGGGGACATCATTCCACGTTCATCTGTTAGCTGCGCGTATATTTTCTTATAATGTTCTTGGTTTTTAATAAGGTGTCCGATAGCGGTGCCGGTGGTGTAGTGGTAAGCGTGATTGCCTCTCACCCCAGCAGGCCTGGGTTCAATCCCAGTCGGTGCCGCCAGGATGTTCTGAGGCATAACATCTCTGATCACGCCTTCCGTCGGAAGGGAAGTAAAGCCATTGGTCCCCGATTCATGAGTTGTGATGGGTCAATAGGTAAGATCCAGGAGTATGAGCTGCCTCTCTGGTGTTGGTAGCATTGGTGCTCAGCACGGAAAACAAGATCGACGGAAAACAAACCAAAGGAAAAAAAATAAGGTGTCCAATGACCTTAACCAGATTAAAGTCCCGTCGATTATAGGCAGTCCGTCGCGCAATAAATAAGGCCTTCTCGATGCTGTCCACCTTTGAATTTACTTCCTCGTTGTCGACGAGACGAAGCTTGCTTCTTTCACTCAGCTCATCAAACTGCTTTGAATGTCTCCCTCGTTTTGATGTTGAAGGAACGTTCTGCTCCTTTTCGATGAATTCCTTGATGGCA